TGAGTGAAGTCCATGGTCCTGGGTTTCATTTTTTTTTTAATTACTGTTATAATCTCTTTTTCATATGCTGTATCACTGACTTTCAGTTTCTTGAGTAAACAGTCCCAGGCATAGTCCCAGGAATAGTTTCATTCCAGGAATTAGACAATTTCATTAGTACTGAGTTGTTCATAGTGTTCTCTGTAACTCATTTTACTTCTATAAAATTAATCGCATTGCACCCACTTCCATTCCTAAGTTTAGTAATTTGAGTCTTTTCTCCTTTTCCCTTGGTCAGCCTTATTAAAACTTTGTCAGTTTTATTAATCTTTTCAAAAAAGGAAGATTTGGTTCCATATATCCTACTGTTTTTACTTTTATTATTTTTTTATCCTACTGTTTTAGATTCTTAACTTCATTTCCCTCTGCTCTTTTAGTTCCTTCCTTCTGCTAGCTTTGAGTTCAGGCTTCTCTTCTTTTTCTAGTTCCTCAACAGGTCAAGTCAGGTTTTTGGCTTAGCTCTTTCTCTTTTGGAAGCAGGCATTTACAGCTATAAATTTCCCACTGAGCACACTGTTGCTTTTGCTACACCAGTTGGTCTTGTTACGTTCTCTTCATTTTCATTCATCTTTAAGTATTTCAACATTATCTCTAAAGTATTTCTGGTGGTCCCTTCTCTGACCCATGGGCTGTTGAATGGTGTGCTCTTTACTTCTCCATGTAGTGCTGAGTGGCCGGCCACTGAGGCTCCAGGGACTCCCTCAGTGTCAACACTCAGGCTGATTTGCTTGACTTGTTCACCTGGCTGCTGAGTTCCAATAAAGTCGATTCTGCTTTCTATGAGTGCTTGTCAGTTCATTGACTGATTTTGTGAAGGGCTTTTGGAACATCTTAGTCAACATTTTTCTCCAATAATGGTCAGTGTTCAAGTTGGAACCTGGAACCCTAGACCAGAGGCCCAGCTCTCTAGGATTCCAAGTTAGTTCCAACCACTTGCCCCTAAGAGGCCAAATCAAGAGATGAGTAGAGGTGAAGGGCAGAGAAAGATGACTTGTTACACGGCACAGGCACACCACAGGAAGAGGCAAAACAAGCACTTCCTGGGTACGGACATGAGATTTAGGTTTAAATAGGGGAAGAATTGAGGCAGTGGGCTCAGTTGATCGTTATCTCAGCTCTGATTCTGCGAGGGGTTCTGGAGAATTTGTTGTTGCTGTCGTCACATGAGGGGGTAGTTCCCACGGGAGGATTCCTCCTGCACCAGGATGCAGCCTCATCATTTTAGGTCATTGTCCTCATTTGGGGATGCCTCGCAACCCACACTCATCCTAGAAACCTAACCGGGGATGACTGGAGATGCGGAAAGGACAAAAGATAGAAGACAGACATGCAAAAAGCTGGGTGCACACCCAGGTGTGCTGGGTGCTCGGATGGAGACACACGACAGCCTCATTACTTCTTTTTTACTTCTCTTCTTTCACTTTGCTTCTTTTCTCTAGTCTTTAAAGTCTCAGTCCTTAGACTCACACACAACAGTCATCAGCAGCAGCCTCACAAGCAGCCCGTGGAAGCCACCCCTTGCAAGCAGCCAACCATGTCCTCCTTTGGGGAGTCTTTTATCTACAGTGGCAAAAGAGGTGGAGCAACAGTTCTGGGGCAGGGAGCATGACATTGTAACAGGAAGAACCTGCCATCGCTACTGTCTGAACATAAACACCTTAGGAAAAGCAGCCGTGCTGCATTTTGCCCTTGCCCACTTCTGCGGCTGGGGCTGTGCCAACTCAGCCTGCAGATTATTTGAGACAGTTGTGCTTATGTCAAGTTTTCATAATCTGCTCCCATAGAGATGGTCTGTTCTGTGAGGCTATGCTGACCCTTTCCTTGGGGTAGTTTCTGTCCCTTGTCATAAAGATCCTGTCAATCAGTCCTGTCCTTCCTGGAACCCAAGGGGATTTCAGGAAGGGGTTCAGAGTAAAGGAGACAGATGTAAAATGGAGGCAGCGATGCCACTCTTTGGACACTTGCAAACCCAAGTGAGAAGCCAGTGCTTTTCAGCAAAAGCAGCTTCTAAATACCTGTTCTATACTTTTATTTAACCCGGGGGATGAAAATTCTGTCTGCTTACCTCCTATTTACCTACATCCTCTATGAAGAAGATAAATGCAAGATACATCATAAAATTAAAGCAAAAATGGTTTCCTATGAGAGAAAGAAGGAAATGAGGATAAAAGCTGGGTTTTCTTGTAGATTTCACTTTGGATCCACACATTTTACCTTGTGAGTTCAGATTTGGGTTCAGATGGTCCAAAATGCTCCAACCTAACCATTTGTCAACTGTGTAATATTTAACAGGTATACATAAAGCACCAGCTCCCTCCCACCACTCCCTCACCTGTGTTCTGGACTCCTACCAAGGCTCACTGTGTCTAACAGTGAAAGCAGGTAAAGCAGGGCTGTGAATGGTGACACTTGACCAACAAGGCCACCATTTTGGGTTTTTATTTTTTTGCGGTGCTGAGGCTAGAAGTCAAGGAGGGCCACTTTTTGAGTAACAAAGTGGGAGTGTGCCCATGAGAGTAAGGTTGTAGGTTAGTTTTACTTTCCTTACAAAAATAAAGGCTCACCTTTGGATTCCCCCAGGTAGTTGACTGAAAAGTGCATCAAAATTGAAATACTTGCTGCCTCCTACTGCACCACCATTTATTCACTCACAGCTTTATTTCCCACAACTCCTGACCACTGCGCTTCTCTTAAACATGTCAAATGCAAATTAAACTCCCACGCTACACCCTGCTATGCCTTAGTTTGCACAAGTTTTTCCCACCTGGATCAAACAGCCAAGCTAGTCACTTTTTGCCTTCATTCTTATCTTTTGCTAAATCCAATTTCAATCATGACTTTATTTAAAAAAAAAATCTAATGAGGGCACTATTTTGCTTACATCAAGTATTCAGTTACTTCCTGCCACCTACAGTGATGGTTCTAGAATCTTCTGTCCCTAGGGCTGGTGAGAGATAAGCCAGATGTGTTGGGTTCCCTTGTCAATCTTGCTTGTTTACACATCTGTGTTTCTGTTTGTAGAAAAGGATTTCCCAAACTCAAGCTCTTGGTGAAGTTGCTCCCAGATCTGCACAGCTTGAAGGTGTTACATTACCACTCGTCACCTGCCCCTTCAGTAATCTGAGTCTGCCTCGCTGACTTGAAATGCTGCAAGCACTTACCCTTCAACACCTGCTGCTTCTACCTCAGTGCTGTTCTCACCATGTCATTGTAAACCTAAGGTGTCACCTCAGCTTAGAGATGATGGAAATCTAAATGTCCTTGGCAGCTTCACTTTCATCTGATCCTACAATACTTCCTAACTCCTCTATTTGACTCTCCATCACTGTGATATTTTTTGCTAATTACTAAGGACCCTCTCTAAGTCCTTGCCCAAGAATCCTCATCTTGAAAATGGGGATAAACAGAACACCTGGTGCAAAGTGTAAGATGTGGTACTACACGGAAGGGCTGAGGAGAGGGTCCGGAATGCTGGACTTCAAATGTTAGACATGGCTGTTACCAGTGATCTCACCACCACCACTGCAGGGTCCACTAGACTATGAAATAATACCTTGAAGAACTCCATGTGGGAAGGAATTTGTCTACATTCTCTAGCATGCAGTTTAAACACAGTCACTCATCTGATATCAACCTCACGCCAAAACTATGATTTGCTCCCTCCTGCCTTCAGCTCCTTCTTTTTGCAAGGGCATTATTTCATATGAATATTCTAATTTCCTAAGACTATGCTTTTTGCAACAGATTTAAAAACTTATTTGACATAATTAGATATTAGATGCAATTTCCTATAACTTTAATAGACATTTAACTGGTACAGATACCTATTGTGATACTTTTATGTCAATTTTCCTAGGCCGGGGTGCCCAGGTACACAGTGGACTTTTGAGTAAACAGATGGCCTTCATGAATATGGGAGACCTCATGCATCAGTTTAAGTCTTAGACAGAATAAAAGACTGACCTCCCTGTGCAGGGAGGAATACTGTGACAGATAGCCTTGGTCTTGGACTGCTAGGCCATCCTCTCTCCTCAAGCCTGTCAAACCACAGTATGTTCAGACTTGGCTCCATAATCACCTTCCCTCTCTCTTCAAACACACATCCTACTGGTTCTGCTTCTCTGGAGAACCTGACTGATTCACCCACCTATAGAAAAAAAATAAGAAATTAACTTATAGACCAATCTGTAATTATCTAAATTAAAAACTTTATTTGGGAAACTTAGAATTAAATATATTTTAAATATATATGTATATGTACATAAAATTATATATAAATAAAATTACATGATATGTAAGTATATATAAAGTTATATATAAGTTTACATATAAAACTGTGTCAGGAAATTAAGAATGTCTGACACCCTTTATTCTCTTTTGATAACCTCCTGTTACCTATACCGAGTAAGAAAAAACAAAGGGGAGAAATTATTACAGCTTTATTTTAAGTTTCAAAATTATTTGCTTCATGTGCTTGAGTCATAAAACCTAAATCATGTAGGTGAATACAAAGATTAATATAGTTGCTTTACACAATGACAAAATCTTATAACTATGTTTTCAAACCAAATTTCCTATTTTTATGACAGTGAAAAAAAAAAAACTTAAGTTCATTAAAAAAGTACAAAAGGAAAATAAACTAGCCAATCGTTTCAGTGCTCTCTTTGCAAACATACGGTGTTGAAGGAAGGTTACTTAAGTGTTCACATCACTTAAAAAATTTAGATTCAAGGCAGAAAACGGATTTATATTAATTAAAACATTTGCCTTCGGCAGCGAGCGGCTCCCTGAGATTCAGACGCTGTGTGAAGGGTCATCTCCTAAGAAGGTCTCCGCAGAGAATCACACACAATTCTGAAGACTTGGCCAAAGCGGCGTACAAATGCCACATCTTGGCACAACGAGCATCTGCAGATACCCCGGAAGGTGGTGTCCCTGAGAGGCAGTGGGCGCCTCGCTCTCTACTGCTGTGGGCACTGGACCTCTGGAGTCGGTTTGGAGGACACGTAGATAATAGGGTGTGATTTCTTACGAGGTTCCTTTTCTATTTTGCTTGCAGTTTCCTTCCCCTCTTTAACTTCTGTTTGAAGCCTTGTATCAGCAGATAACCTACAGGCATTAAAACATCAACTCTAAATTCAAATGCACTTAACAAAAATTAAAGCAGCAGCAAACCACTAGTACACCAGGTCTCCAATGAGGCAAAGTGCTATTGTTTTTTTGATGTATACAAGAAAAAAAAGCTAGTCAAGTCCAATAGCATTAGTAATTCTAAGTGACTGACTCTAAAGGAATTTTTTTTATATCAATAGGCTTAATTTTTTTTAAATCTCAACAAATATCTTCAAGGCTGATAAAAGAGGCCTGGCGAGGTCTAAACTAAAGAATTAAACACAATGGATACTCATCATGATAAGCACACACAACACAAAGATTCAAATGCTACATCAGTATTTTCAAGTTGACGTGGCATACACAAAGCTCAGCACAAGACACAAACAACAGAGTCCTGGACTGCACAAAGAGAAGGCAATTTGTCTCACGTGAAGAAAGAAATTCAAATACACCTGGGCACTGGTGGCTCGCACCTAGAATCCTAGCTACTTGGGAGGCTGCAATCTGGAGGGTCACGGTTTGAGGTCAGCCAGAGCACGCAGTTCTCGAGACCCTATCTCCAAAGAGCAAAAAATGGATTGGAGGTGTGGTTCTGGTGGAAGAGTGCCTGCTTTGCAAGCGTAAAGCTCTGAGTTCAAGCCCCAGTCCCCCTCAAAAAATATTTCAAATTCAAACAGACTTTCAACTAGTAGAATGATAACTTAAGAAAAACAAACAGTGGAGAGGTGTTTAAAAGGATCTGCAAAGACTCTTTACAGGAAGTGTCGGTTAACTGTGCAAGAGTGAAGTATCCAACCAGGCTCATCTTTGTCTTCACATTGTGTGTCTACATTAAAATGCAGAAAAGAAAAGGCTCCAAAAGTGTAAGTTACAGGATGAGCTGGCACACACATACAGTTTTTTTGTGGTGAAAATTTTATTTGCTTTTGTTTAACTTGAGGACATAAATTTCCAACATGTGATTTGTGTCAAAAAATTAGCTACATACAGCTAAATCATTTTTTATGAGCAAAAGAGGACACGAAAAGAAACAAAGGCAACACAGACAGCAAGGGCCGCACTGATGGGTTCTAGAAATGGTCAAGAAGTCTACCCCGCTCAGGCTCAGGCTCTCATGTAAGCACCACGGCCTGCTGAGCTCATGTCAGGACTCCGTGGAACTGGAGTGAGTCAGACAGCATCAATTTGACTTGTTTCCCATGACTTACAGGTTGTAACACTACATAAAAACCCAAGGAGGGGAGTAAGGCCCCCTCCTTTCAAGGGCAGCTAGCGCTGCCTTTTCACTGGTGAGCACTGCCTTTAGCACACCGAATCCTTGAAGGAAAGCCCTCTTACACAAGGTTGGCTGAGTCACTATTTCAATCAAAACGCACGTCATTAAAACGTCTGATTGTGAGCCTCGCACTCTCATTTCACAGAGGACAATAAGCTTACTTTTTAAAGACGCTTCTTTCAAATGTGTGCCTGTGCACTGCGCAATCACATCCTTCACCCTTTTTACGTCTCTGCCAGTTCTGTTTTTCTCACCCACGCTTGGTCATGGGTGCACGCCCACAGTCTGCCTCCTTCTCCCTCCACTCACTTTGCTTTACCTTACTTTATTATTGTTTTTAAGGACAGAGCCCTTCAATACTAACTCCTTCAGATACACATCTGACACTTCCTCTTTTAGTTACAAACGCATCTATGCAAAACCAAAGGATTTGGAGTTTGGGAAATGGAAATAAATTAGCTTTATATTTAACAAGGTCAAACAGGCTTCAGAGCTCATTTCTGAAGGCGTAGTGTAAACAACATCAAAAGCCACAGAAAATTTCGCCTACATTTCTAAGGAGAGTGCTTGAAAAGATTGTCAGAGGAGAAAAAATGAAAAGGAATGCATAAAACATATGACATCTTTGGGAATCCGCAAAAGGGCAAAACTGTGGAAAGCCCTTTGAGAAGAAAAGCTAAATTTTCTTTCGTGGCCACTCGTGAACCAGCAGACAAGAGGACAATATCTTTACTCAGACCAACAAAACACTGGAGTGCACTAGATGGGCGGTTCCCGCCTCGTGAGACAGAAAAGGTCTGACTTTCTGGTCTGACTCCCAGTTCATCAGTACTTTCCTCTTGCAGTCATTTTAGTCTGTCTTACAGTTTTGAAAAAGCTAAAGGCAGGCAGATGTAACTTAAGAAAACAGATAAAGAAACAAATGGCATAGCTCCCGTGGTGAGGGGTGAGGCAGAGAGGACACTGACCTCGGGGAGCTGGGGGGGTCCCCGCCTCTTTCCCGTAAGGCTTCGGCATCTGTCGGAATGTCTATGAGCCACACGGACTTCTCTTCCTTCTTTGGCTGTGTATCTGGGGGCAGATTTTTGTGAGGAGAGAGACTGACCACGGGCTTCTCTCTAGAAGCTGATTTTTCTAACTGCAAGCCATCATTTTCTAAATTGGGAGGACAGGGCTGTGTCTCCTCTTTCTGAGGTGAGAGACTAGAAACTTCTTTCGCAACAGTGCTGTCGGCACAGACATCTGTAGGAGTGGTAACATCCACGGGCAGCACCTCACGCCTCTTTTTGAGTATAGGTACTTCAATCTTCTCTGGAAAAAAAAAAATCCAGCCAATGAATAAACAGAAGTGGAATAAATTGCACACAAACTTTTTCCTGTGCTTTTTAAAATCCACTCTTGAAATATATTGTTTCTTTTATCCTGTGTTTTTTTTTTTTGTTGTTGTTTTTAAATAGTCTCATTGACTCTATCCTTTAGAGTACATTGTCTACAATTTTTTCCTGTGGGAACTCAGTAACACAAAGCTCTGGGAAGGAAAAGAATGCTCTCTTCTGGTGTGCACATGTTGTAAGGTGGGGGAGGTTTCTAAGATCTCAGCTTTTTCGGAAAAGATGCAAGAGCAGACAGCAGAGGAGCCCAGGTTCAAGTCCTACACTCAGTGGCGGGGTGACTGAGGGTAGGATTTAACTTTCCTGCACCTTATCTTTTTGACTTTCTTTAAACGGGATTTCAGTATTGCGTGTTGTTAGGACTAAATGAAAAGAGCAAGTCATACTCTGGATGTTGGTAACTTGTGCCTGTTAGATATATTCAGAATCCAACCCAGTCTACAACAGATACACTTATGCCTCCCCAGACTCCCACTGTGCCCTCCACCTATCTCATGGCAGGACACCATCCTATCCCCATGCTGGTCCTGTTTGTAGTCACCCAATTACCTGCTCTAGAACATTTTCCTCCCCATCTCCACATGAATGTGCCTTTCACTGTCATAATCACAACATCAGTGGAAGCCGAGGAACCGTGGCAGGAAAGGGGTCAGTGCTCTCGCTTTCATTGCTTTCTGATCACTGCCTGGTTTTCCTTCTCTTTCCCTTTTTCTTGCTTGGCTCCCTGGAAACCCACGTCATCTCCACTCACTGTCCCTCTTCCTATCTCTTTGCTGGGTTCGGTTCAGCAGAACTTTGAAATTTATAAATGGAAATTCCTAATCAGGGAGCCTCAGAGTCAGGGAAGAACAAAGGATAAGAGAATGGAAAGGCTTTTGAGACTATTCATTCTCCCTGATGCCAAGCAGCACTGCAGTGGGCTGAGACGATGACAGGAGAGCCAGCCCTTGAAGCAGTGCAGCAGGGCTGTTTGAGAACCCCAAGCCTAAAGCCCGTGAAGAACATCTTTTAGGGAAGGGGGGGTTAGAACCACCTCATCGTAGATTTCTCTAGGAAAATCCACATGCAGTAAAGATCAGTCTTTATAAAAGGATCAGATGTGAGGTCATCTGTGAGGACTCTCTAGCCATCACCTCTCCATAGAAAGAGCAATCTGAATGATGATTCTCACTCAAAAATACCTTCGCAGAACTTAGAAAATTGAACACAGAAGTGAGACTGCGAATACCCTTTGCATGGCCAAGATGAGTAAAACCAAGGTTGGACCATAAAGGGAAAGGTTCTCTGTGACTTGACTCTCCTGTCCTCAAGCACCAAGTCCCTCAGACTGTTTCCACATGGAAAGTGAGTGGGAGGCTGGTGCTTGACTTCCCGCCACCCAGAATCCCCACATGGGCCTCTCACTCGGGTTGGTACGTGGGCTCTGGCACACAGGGAGCACTGAGGGCTGCTCCACCTGAGGCCTGCTGCGAGCACAGAGCAGAGGCTAACAGTAGCCAGCACTACAACAGGGCAGTGGCTCTGCTTCCCTGCCAGACAGGCAATGAGGGGGGCCATACTGCTGGAGGCATAATCTATAGACCCTCTGGGCACGAGTGGCTGGTGGGCTCTGACACATTCCCTAGGTGTTCTCTGTGGATTGCCAACAGGCTCGTCCAGGTCGGACATTTAACCAGCAGTAGAGTCAGCCTAAGACTGGCACCTGACGTAGGCTCAGGGTGCCCGCTAATGCTGAAATGTAACACAACAGCTGATCTGCTCAGAATTTCTAAACAGGCTCTCTGAAAAATAGAGCAGTCGCAAGAAAACAGACTGCTAAGTATGGAATAAAAACTTAATTCACCAATGCATACATAGAGAACATGTCTACAAGGACGAAAAAGAGCCAAGAAAGGATGGCTATACCCAGTGGACAAAAGATGGTGCCAGTAAGAGACCCAAAGACAAGCATCTGAATGTTGGGAGACAAAGAATTTAAAGCAGCTGTTTCAAGAAAATTCAGTGAACTTCAAGAAAACACACAGAACAATTCAGAAATTCATTGGACAAATTTAAGAAAGTGAAATAATAATTACCTAATTATGGAGCTGAAAAATTTAATAACTGAAATGAAAAATGCAGCAGAGGATACTCAGAGCACAGCTGATCAAGCAGAATAAAGAACCAGTAAGTTTGAAGACAGGCTATTTGAAAAGATTGTCAGAGGAGAAAAAATGAGAAGGAATGCATAAAACATACGACATCTTTGGGAATCAGCAAAAGGGCAAAACTGTGTCTAGAGAAACTAGAAAATGAGTGAAGGGCAAAAGCATATTCCAAGAAGTAATAAATGAAACCTTTCCAAACACGCAGAGGTCACAGGTTCCATTCAAATTCAACCCAAACCAAACTCTCAAAGACCAAGACAAAGGATCCCAAAAGCAGCAAGAGAAAAGAGGCAAATAATGTACGAAGGACTTTCACCACTCCAGGCATGAGACTTCTCAGCAGAAATTCCACCAGCCGCAACAGAAGGGAGATCTATTCCAGGTGCTGGAGGAACAGAACTGCCAACCAAGAGTTCTGTATCCACCAAAGCTGAAGGGAATCACTGTAACCAGCCCTGTCTGACAAGACTGCTAAGGGAGATCTTCAGACAGAAAAGAAGTAGAGACTTAAACCCTAGCCTTGCCTAGGCTTTCTATAAACAAACCTAACTAACATAGCTTCCAACGTTAGGGGCTTCAACAGAATAAACACCTTTGGTATGACACAGATGCTGCCATCTTAAAGGGAAAAGTCTCAAATGTCAAATTTCCTTCTTACAGTATGACGACGTCAGATATCCACAAGGAACACATGTTCTGTTTGTGCACTCTTGGTACCCACTCCTCTGAGTTTTCCTGTAATTTTACAGCAGGAAATTCTCTTAGTTATAGATGCATAACCACCGAGTAGCTTACAGTGCAGATTTTTTATATCTTCTCATGACTTCAGACAGAAGCACATGAACGCAGACCACACACACCTTCAGGCTCGTACTTGAGCTTCAGCTCATCCAGTTTGGCTCTAAGTTTCACGTTTTCACTTTCCGAAAGCTGGAGGCACCTTTCCTTTGCAAACAGTTTTCTCTCAATCTCCAGGGCCCGCTGACTCTCGAGCAGCGCTTTCATCCGCTGAATGGACAGCTCTCCCCTGGCGCTTTCGTTCTCTTTGCTAAGTAACAGGAGGGAGAACAAAGGAACATACAAACAACACGTACTACAAATAAAGCAGCTGGAATCAATTTTTTCCTTGTGCATTTCAATACTTAGTTAAAAATACATTTCTGTGGGATTTTTACAAAAAAATAAACAATAAAAATAAGGTTTAACAATAGCACTAGTTCTTTGTAAAGCATAGTTCTTTGTAAAGGAAGCGGGCAACTCTTCTTTTCCAAGAGCGTCCACTCATCGTTCCTTTAAGGTTTAAGTCACATGATAGTTATTCTTGAAAACTTGGATTGTAACAACATTTTCTGTCGTAAAGTCCTTTTCATTACCAATCTAAAAAGCTGAACACAAAAAAGTAAAAATAAATTGTCTATAACATAGCATGCTAAAGGATTCAAGCATACATTCAAAGTACTTTTTTCATTAACAGTAATTACAATACCTTGCATAAAACCTAGGTGTGGCACAAAGAGAGATTTTTATCGACTTTCTTTTCTGAAAATTTCTTTTGGCAATTTTAAAACAAAACCTTGCAGTCACTCACCCATCTATTACACACAGCGGAGAATCTTCCTTTTTCTGTCCATGAACACTTACTTTAAGTTATCGAGCTTCAGCTGCAGTAGGTCTGTGTAGTAGGTGCTGTCTTCTGGAACACACAGGTTGGCTGGTGCGGAAGGCTTAGACTCCAAGCTTTCATAGAAATTCTAAAGAAGGCAAAACGTCTTGTTGAAGTAACCGCTCATAGCAACTACCACTCAGTTTGCACTCACGTTCAGCGGCTCTGTGCTGAGAGCCACACAGTAACTCACTGGGCTCTGGTAAGTAAAAGTGCACCCCTCCCTTCTTACAGCTGAGGAAAGGGCTTGGGTGGGGTGACACAGCCCAGCGAACCGAGATTCTGAGCCTGCGTCTAATCCTACAGCCCCGCTTCTAACCACCCTGTGCCCTATAGTTACCTTCTCCTGCCTTTCAAAACAGAAGGAGCAAAAGCCTGCTGGCTTGAATTCTGAACATGATGATAAAGCCATAAAACAGGCAAACATGAAAAAGAGGAGATTCCCAAAGTTACTTTTGGCATCTGTGTTCTCAATACTGATATGAATGCCATACAATTCTTTAGGGCAGAAGAATGAAAATCTCTCTAAAAACTGTACATAATTTCAGCAACCACACATAAAAAAAAAAAAAAATCAAAAAACCTTTTTGATTTAAATAGGTCATAATTTTCAAAGTATAGCACTGAGCCCAGTGGTGGGCCACATCACCTGCCAAGTGACACACTGTAAATTCAAGCAAAATTACTGTCCTTTCGCCATTTTTCCTAATAAAAGATTAAATAGCTATGTAAACTTAAATTTTTATGATACACTAATGGCCCTAATTGACCGTAATGTAGTATGATGAAAGATTATTACCATCTACCAAACTCCAGCATTTACACTCTAACCTTTCACTGAAGGCTAACAAGATCTCAGTAGTCCCTAAGGAAACTTAAAATTTATAACTGTGATATGATCCCAAGAAAAATTAAAAATACCAAAAAGGTCTTTGGGTTTATTTTTCAGTGCTAGGTAAGAAAAAGTAAACATGTGAGAATAGCCAGGAAAATACTGAGGAAAATCTAGGATGGGGGAATCCCACACCAGACTGAGTGACACTTGGCCAGCGGCCGTTATTTAACACACACCACACATACACACAATACACCCCCACATACATACCACAAACACACACACACACAAAGATACCATACACACACCACATACCACACATACCACAAACACACACACAACAACCCCCCCAACACACACACACGAGACACACTTCTCGGGGGGCTCAGAACTTGACCCTTAAAAAAGGAAGCTGCACACGTAGCAAACAAGTAAATTCTATCCATTCTTAAATAAATACTCACGTGAAATACATTCAACCTCATCACAATTAGAAAAACGCAAATTGAAACTACACTGAGATGCTACTTCTCATCTGTCAGATGGCAAAATTAAAACGGTAACAGGTTCCATCATGAGACTTCAATGGTGGAAGCACAGACTGGAAGAGTCTCGGGAGAAGAGAGAAAAACTTGACAAAGCTACATAGGCAGGCGCGTTCTGGCCTGAGACCCTGCTGTGGGATTAACCCTGAGATGGGCTGATGATAACAGGAGGGAGCACACAGCTCAGATGTGCTCCACGCAGTAGCAGAGACACCAAACACCAGACATCAGATGTGACTCAACCACAACACATCCCTGCCACAGAATTCTCTGAAACTACAAGTGAAAATGAAAAGCTCTGTAAGCTGAGATGAAGAGATTTTTAGCACACATTACAAAGTGAGAAAGGAAGGAAAAGTACAAGACCATAGTATGACACACTTTGTTTCAAAAAAAAAAAAAACATAAGATAGACACAGAGCTGATCTTATTTCCAAAAGGTCACAGAATGAGCTAGGTCCTTACCAGGGTGAGGAAATTAGATAGGAAGATGTAGGAAGAGAGTGATGCAGGTTTGGGAAGAAGGGATGCTGAGCACAGTTTCCAACACTGAACAAAACAAATGAAGGCAACCAGGATGGAGGGAGGACAACAAAATGAAACAGAAACAGAAAACCATCTTACATTCATTCCAGACGAATGATGCACTCCAAACCAAGGGCAAGAAGAGGGCAGAAAAAAAAAATGCCTAAAAAAGTAAACCTAACTCACTTTTGGACACACAACGTGTGGCTATGCACCCTCAGACTAAGCCAGAAAGAACTGCCACATGCTCTGCACTCTGGTTAGTAGGCCAGTCGTCCAAGATTTGATGTCTTCTGAGGTAAATAAGCAAAGATGCTGAGCACAACAAGAAGCGGGCTTCTAATGTCAGAAAGGGAGCAGGCAGTAAGCTCTGTGGTATCAAATGCCACAGGAGACATTAGTACAGACAGACCCATGTGCTCACGCACGTGGACCCTCAACTCTGCCTGCTGAGGACCTGGAAGTGAGGATACCACAGCAGCAAGCACATCCGGCACCCAAATCTTGGTTTCTAGATACCAGTACCCAATAAAGTAATGTGTGTTCCTTGGAGAAGTGCTGACTCCAGGACTGGGACAGGCGAACTAGGAACATTGTAGGGCCAGAGGGTGAGGAAGTGCCCCGTGGCTTAACCTGGGACACTGTGAGCATCAATGTAAAAAAAGTCACAAATCATAACCTGCCGAGTAAAATAAGAATCCCTGTGGCTACCCTGACATAGATGAATCAGTAAGTGTGAAAAAGATGCTTCCTTTCCATCTCTTTGTAAGGATTCCAGTTAGTAAGTATACAAAGAATGATGGAATTGCCATTTGATAATCATCACTGAGGACCATCAATGGAGAAACAGGCATTGACTTACTCTCAAAGTATCACCCCACAAGCTACTTTTTAATTACAAAGGGAAAAACTGTAACTTTGCAGTGGAGAAATCTGGCAGACATAATCTTAACCACACACTCCACTTTAGCAGCAGTAATGGCACAAACAGACATTAGTGCCACCCAGTGGGATCCATTAGGAAGGACACAAGGCTACAGTCATGCATATGACCCAAACCCAATTGCATCAGAAGAACCCAACATGAAGAACAAGTCACAAGGTAACTGACTACCATTCAAAAATGCCAAGGTCACAAAAGACAAAGGCTGAAGACCTGTTCTCAGGTGACTGTTCAACACAACATGTCATCTTGGGCTGGACCCTGGGAAGGAAAGCATTTGTTTTTATTTACTTTGTTACAAAGGCATCCATCAGTGGCAAGAGTAAAATGTACAAAGCAGCTTACAGACAGCACAATCAATTCACACCACCGTTCAATTCCTGATCGGGATCCTTGGGTTAAACAGGAGGAAGCTCTTCAATAAAACAGAGGTGTCAAGGGGTACAAGGATACCTGTCTTGTGACTCACTCTCCAATGTTACAGAAAAACAACTGTGCACACATGGACAGAGGCAGAGGAAGTAGTAAAGCAAAGGCCAATTAGGGGCCCAGAGTGAAGGGTAAACAGAAGGACTTGCACAGCTTTCCTACAAGTCTGAATTGTTTTCAGAATAAAACAAATTTTGATGGTATTGAAAAACATTTCTGATGACACACAAAAGGAATTTCTTTACACAGTGTTGGTAGAAGCCAGAAACAAGACTATATGCTAAATGATCACTTAACTGAAGTTCACAGCATTTGTTCATAGGATGATGATACAAAGGTAGGAGGTGGGGGGAGTAACTGAGAAGGGACACAATTGAGCCTTTCTGTAGTACTGGAAATATTTTACTTCAAATCTGGTGGTGATTATGGAAGGGATATGTATGCTAAGACTCACAAGTTGTACACTAAAGATGACAGTACTGAACAACAACCACTGAAACTGAGGGTTAATTACATAATAAAGAAATCTACTTAAAAATACTGAGAAACTCACATCAAGATCTGGCTGCATTTTAAAAGGTGCTCTACATACCTTAAATTTCTCCAGGTTTCTAATTTCACCTAGAAGGTGTTTTATTTCACCATTCTTCTGTTCCAACATGGCAAACAACCGCTCCTGCTGCTCAAATTCAGTTTGAGACCCTTTCATTTGCAGCAACGTAGCGACTTGTAGCTAGAAAACAACACCCCCCAACAAAACTGAGACTCTGACAAGCACATTTGTGGTACAATTCACATTTCAAACTGTATTCATTTTGACTCATTTTGGAAACTAGCTATTTCAGCCTAATAATTTGAACGTATATGTATCAGTAAGTTTTGCAGACATTAACTTTTGAGTATCTGACTACTCTTTAATGATAACTGAAGCCTTAATGATGTGAACTGCTGTGAAACACAGATTGAACTGAGTGACTACAGTCTTCAAGCATGTCATTCAACTGGTAACTAAGCCTGGCCAAGTGTTCCTGACTACTTATCACAGGCACAGACTCCCATCAAGGATCTAATGAGGTTCCATAAAAACTATAATCACCTTTAATGAAGTAGGGGAAATTATTAAGGTATTCCAGTCACAAATATGAGTGTCACAAATTTCAAAGACGGGAAGCCCCACGTAAGGACTTTGCCACACTTTAAAGACAGGACAATTCTGAGAGGGAGGTTCTGACTAATGTTCTCAACAGTTATAGGTCAATAGTGACACAACTATAACAAGATCAAATCTGTGACTCAAGCCCAAGGTCACCTAACTCCCAAGTTTAATCAGTGACCTTGCACATTTCTTTGGTAAAACACCACTCTTAAAAAAACAAAAAAATAAATAAATAAAAAGGAAGACTTTCTAGAAGCATTAGGCACGGGACACACAGGATAAGGACTCTGGAGGACTGGAAAGCACTGGGCTGTTCCTAACTTTCCTCTCATCTGGTTGAAATGGTGACCAACACAACCCTTAAAATTAATTAATTACGCTTGACCTGATGAGCTGTAGGAAATGGACACCCTGAGCAGTCCAAACTTCAGCCTAACTGAACCTTCATGGGACCAGTGAGGAGCAGAGAGAGAGAGCGAGGCCAGCTGAAGATGAGCACAGCGTTTTTCTCCTGCTCCACAAAGAAAGGTGTGTTTCTCCCTGGAGAGGCTAAGACAATCAGTAATTGCTAAATATATCACTACTACTCTTTCAAGTTTAATTTTTTTAAACATAAAAGGATCTTCAAAAGAACTGAAGAACACTGATTTAAAAAAATTCTGCAGTTCTATAAATAACTACATAAAAGGAAAAGGTGGTTTTGAGACATTTGTACTGTAATACAAATATATCAAAGTAGACTTAATAATCTTTAATAGTGGTAATGCTATACCTTCATTCTTTGCATCTGTTCTCTATAAAATGCATTTTGCTTCTTTAAGGACTGATACTTGACTTTCATACTGTTAAACTGGCGCTCCATTGCTGCCCTTCGATCTTCCACCTGGAAAATACTGATTGTTTAACTGTTCTGTAGTAACTGAAATGCCAAAGTTACCAATTCAATCATCAGAACACTTGTAAATACCTCTGCAAATAGAGAGTTGCCTTTGCTATTGGGATCCAAGGCTTGCTGGAGGGCCTGACTCAATTGCACCTGAAGATCTTGATTTTCTACACGAGCTTTCTAAATTCAAAAGATAGTGATTTAGCTCAGAGACAGATCAGTGAGAGAACACTGGACCATCAGCTGGGAACTTGGTGTTGTTGCCATCACAATACCTCCAAGGCATTATAGTAGGAAACTGCTTCCTTCTCCCGCTCTTCTTTCTCTTCAGTAAGCCGGTCCACCTGGCGCATCAAGTTAGAGCTGAGGCGTTCTAGTTGTTCCTGCCTGTACTGTAGTTCATTCACTTCTTCTTTGAGGCTGGTCTACTCAACAGGAACGGAAAAAGAGAAAATCGTCTGCAATAATCTTTTGCGTAGCAGCAGCCCCATTCATCAGTCACTGGTGCTCACACCCAAAGACTGTGAGGCATACACTGCATGATTTTAAATGACTGAACTTATTAGCTGAGAACCAAATAAAAGCCTTGAGAATCTGCCTTTTTTTCCCTATGAGTTTAAAGCTTTAATTTTTAAATATCACAGCCCCAAATGAAAAATCTACATTTGCATGAATTTTAACTTTCACCATGCTAACATTTTACACTGGGCTGCTATGACACAAACTGAAATCAGACTAAATGCCTCTAAATTCTTTAGAGGTTTTATTAATCTAAATGTAAAGTCTGCCTTACAAACATGTATCCTACAGGTGTTTCATGAATGAAGGAATCCATTTTAAAAATATTTTTTTGATCATTTATATCAACATTAAGTAAAAAAAGCATTTTAGCCTTTTACAACATGTAAAATATATGCAGAAGAAAAAGAATGAGAAACACGTGCCATAAAAGTTACCTTCGCACTTTTCATCTCAGTCAGCTCAACTTGAAGAGCGAGCACCTCTGAAGACATGCTCTCATGCACCCGCTCAGACAGCGCCCGTATCTCCTCTGCTTTCCGAGAGAGGAGTTCCTTCTGGTGGTCCACTTTATGCTTCAGCTGCTTTTCGCTCAGCCTTGCCTCATCTAATTCCACCTTCAGTTTTTCTAACTAAAGCAAAAGAAGAAAAATTCACTACCTTATAAAGCAAACAGTACTTGCCTTCTGAAAAACATCAAGTGATCCAAACATTGTATGAAGACTTAGGCGACCATCTTTTAACAGTGACCCATGTGTTTACAAATACTCCACACTAGCAATCAGAGCGGGCCTGGATCCTCAGAAGCACCCAAGGCAGGATTGTCACCACCTTGGCTGCCGTGGAAATGAACGGTTACAGGAAGAGTCAGAGACAGTATGGTTTGGATTAGGGGCTTGCAGGCCAATTTCTTAGAATTTACTAATGGATTAGATGTGAGAAATTAAGAGAAAGATATTCAGTAAAACTCCACATTTTTGGCACAAGTGGCTAAACATCAATCAGTGAGACAAAGTTTTTTATTTACTCTTTCTCTATAACTGGCCATGCCTCATGTAGTTCCTGAATACTCCCTGCATTGCTGTATTTGCTTAGGTAATGAAAACAACATGGTGGGGGAGGGGAGAGAATACGTCACACCAGTGAGCAGTTTCTCAATCAGAATAATTTCAAACAAGCTGGTTTTCCACCTGTCAGAGTCGTAAGCAAAATGAATCTGTATCACACAAAGGCATTATTCAATTATGTTTGTTTCACTGCATATTAGGAGAAAATAAACTAGCTCAAAAACATAATTTCATTGCTATTACTACTTAAAATGTGAAAACTCTTTAATTTAATGAAAAATTAAGTAATGGTATAGGTGGTTCTCACACAGAAAAATTCTAGAATATGCCACACAAGAAAAACAGACTGTGAAAAAGCAGGAAAAAAGCTCAGCAGGTTTTCACAGAGAGGGTATGGAAAATCAGAGCACAGACCCAAGAGGAGCCATGACAAAAGCTGTGGATCCCTTAGAAGCCACATAAAGGTCCCAGGAAGGCTTGGGTTGCAAGACAGGACGGGCACTCACTGCACAGGTGTCGAGTTCAAAATGGAGCCAGGGTGTGATGTCTCACTGGACAATGTACAGGGACTCAGGAACAGCCTTTGGTGTCCGAGTGCTCAGCTCAAATTGTGACCAAAAATTTCCAGCTCTCTTTTTTGTTCAATTTACTCAATCTATCTACACATTGGCTTTCTCATGTGTTATATGGAGATAATAATAGTCCTCCCTTACAAGTTGTTGTGAGGACCAGCTTATATGTATTTTTCTTCAATAAACAATTATAAAGCATCAATGTTAATCACATTAATTTATAAGGAAATCGGATTGTTCCGCAGCATTACAAAGCACACAGCCAGCTGCAGTGAAGGTAGGGGAGGAGACAATAAACAAGGAGGCCAAACTGGTCCCCAAACTAAGTCCACAAATATCCAAGCACCAACATTAGTAGTGTGTAATTAGAAGGCTTCTATTTACACAATCCCTTCAATAAGCTCATTTCTCAGTGTCTCTGCTCCCAACACTAGGATGATAGAAGCTGATCTTGACTATTTTGCATAGCTGGTACTTAAGAAAATCTCCACCATCTAGCCTTACAGATGGCTGTAGGAGGACAGGTCAAACCTTGTTCTTCAGCTCAGTCACTTCCTGCCCGTGGCTTCGGCTCAGCTGCTCTTCTAACTGCTCCAGCTGCTTTTTCTGTTGTTGTTTAACAGTGTCACATTCGCAGCTCAAACTTTCTAACATTCGACTCTTGAGCTCGACTTCTCTCCGAAGAGTGTACTTTTCTTGTTCATATTTCTGAAAACAGATTTGATATTCAGTTACGTGCAACTCACCTAAGTGATTACCTTCAACTGGCTCATGGCTATCTCATACACATGCTGCTTTCCAAGTAATAACCACAAGTTAAATCTGGAATAAGTTTGGAGCTAATCCATTTTAACAAACTCTAAGATGTAGCCTGAGATGAGAGTTGTCTCAAAACACTGAGGCTGAAGTAAGGATAGACACTGGTTTCAGAAAAGGCTCAGTCTTTCCAGTCTGTGGTCTTTGGTGCCTTGCAGCCAGCACTGGGAAGCAGTGCTCCCAGTGCAAATGAAAAGGCATTTTCTGGATTCCAAAACCTAAATAAGGTGAGTACCCCTGGTGAGTATCACAGACTGCCTTTAAAAGCTCTGGCTCTTAGCTGAATGTCAACTGTCATGGTCATATGTCTTATTTTAATCCGAAGCCCTGGAAAGTGAGACTATGACTAAGGAGGGAACTCTTGTCTGTTAAAGTCCACTCTGGAGACACAGTAATTGCTTCTGTGTCCCACCAATGAAGTACAAAGTGCTCCATGTCATGTATGGGCGATCTCTACTAAGGCAGAAAAAGGAAAAAAGAAGTTCTAAATTGTTCTAATGAGCATCATTAGTCTGATGATGAGATGCTCTCCCACCTGCAGCTCTGGAAAAACTGGAGGAATAAAAGGACAGGTGAAAAGGAGAAATCTGAATTATTCCTTACTTTGGGAACAGTCATCTGAGAAATGTTTACAGAACGACTACCAGAATGATAAAGAACTGACACAAAGAAGTATTTAAAAGGCTTTTACTTACTGACAGAGAAGTGTAGAAAAAAATCCTTCAACATGCTTGAAAAAACAAGATGTAATAAAATCCAATTCTGCTAAAAAGACCTGACGCATTCAAGTTCCCCTCCCCCTACCTGCACTTCTACTTTAAAAGAAGGCAAAGAGATTATCAGTTGTTTAACACCTAAATTTAATGAGTTATTTCTCAAAAGAAATAAAGTTTTACCTTCTACTATTAGATTTGTAATCTTTGCTTTTATGACTTGGTTTTAAGTTCTTTGTTAAGAACAGTACACTATGGAGAACCAACGGCTAACGATAGCTATTTCCTACCTGCCATATTACTATTGTAAGACTGAAATTTAATTATACACTGAGCGTTTACTAATGTAAGCTTATTCATTTTTCCCATAAATGTCTGCGTGCCAGGCATTAGGGGCACGACAGTGAACAAGACAAGACAAAGTTCCAATCTCACGGAGATCAGTCCTGGAGATGATTAGCACTCAGAGTTAACAACAATGGCAACTTTGCATTACATACTCAAGGTCGGCTTCTGTGAAAATGACATTAACTGAAACCTGAAGGCTGAGAACCAAACGGTGAGGAGTGGCGATGAACACCTCAGGAGGAAACAGCTTGTGTAAAGTCCACAGACTAGCAGAGCCAAGACTAGGGCAAAGTGGTTTGAGATGAGGTCAAAAGTTATGCAGAGGTCAAGTCACACAGTAATTTCCGAAGCCAGATAAAGAGCTCAAATTTTACTGTAAATGTAATCAGAAGCCTTGTACAGTTTTTACCAGGGAAGTGACAGTCTTTCGGGTACTTTTCCATGACTACTTAGCTGCTGTGTGAAGAATGAGTGGTATGAATGTCAAGAGATTAAAGCAGGCAACCTGGATAGAAGTCTGCATTCAGTCCAATGGGGAGGGGACATATCACAGTCCAATAAGACAGATGATGTTAGTCTGAGCTAGCCTACATAGATGCTTTGTAGGTTGAGTCCTTGGAATTTGTGGATGGTCTAAATGTGAGACCTCTAGATTTTTTGCTCAAGTAACTGGTGAATGCTATTCCATTTACTAAATAAGCAAAGAAAGAGAATGTTTGGTTAGTGGGCAGGGAACCAACTATTCTGTCTCTTCATGTCTTGTTTGGATGTTCATTAGTGGGCAGTTGAAAACAGAAATTTTAGGCCTCTGGAGAGAACTGAAGGCTTGGTGAAGTGCCACAGGACATGTAGATGTTATTTAGAGCTCTGAAACAAGTGAGGTTACAACAAAACCTGGAGGTAAACACAGTAAGATGTAGTAAGAGCAATCATAATTGAACTTTCAAGCTCAAAACAACATTGCATTAGAAAGAATATTAGCAATTCACGGAATCCAGTCTCCTTTAACAGTCATGGGGACCGACAAGGATTAGTTCTTCAGAAAATAAAACACTTGCTAGACAAAACCAATCTTCAACAGCTAAGCTCATCCTTATACATAGAGTCCTGAGTCCTACCTCAGTCACAGTCATCATCTCATTACGACATTTATCCAACTGATCCTGCAATTCATTCTGGCTCTCCAGGAGTTGTAAACCATACTGTGCAGCCTTTAGTCGCTCATTTTCAACCTCTTTAAGCTTATTTCGCAGATCTGTGATTATATCTTCCTCCATGTTCTTTTCCTGTTTTCAGCCTCCTGTAAATTGAGGAAATACAATTACTTAAGCTTAACCATAAAACTCCACCCAAGGGTTTCAATAATAGAAGAAACATACACTCAATACTACTGTTGTACAAAAACAAAGTATTAGGGTTCTCTTCCTGACCTGTAAGTGATCAAATTTGCATTCTTGTTCTAAGAACAAGAATTGTTCTGACAATTTTATTACCCGGTTTGAGATCAAATCAAAAAGAACAGAAAACAATATACTGAATTTTGCTTCTAAGAAATTCACCATCAGGAAACTGTTCAACTGTTGTGTGCTTAAGTATCCATAGTGCTAAGATAGGGTTGCTCTCATAATTGTGTCATTGTCTGTGCAACTACCTTAAACAATGAAGCTTTATAGTAGCATGACTGCTACTTACAACATAACACGGTAGCTTTGAGTAAGACTGATAAGGAAAAGCAAGGAATATTACAACTGATTTTTCGCAATTACCCTCCTGAATACACTGAACTCACTTTATTAAAGGTAGATTCCCTAGCGTTTTCCTAGTTATTCTTAAAAGGGCATGTAAATAGAGACCATGTTCAGAGCAATTAAAGGATACTGTTCTCATTCTAGATTTTCAAGCTGACACTTTAAACATTATATTCCACTTTACTTCTGACGTCATCATCCTATTACTAGATGGCCCCAGCCTCTTAAGCCAAACAGAAACTCAGTTTGCCTTCAAAGAGCACCAGGCCATTACTAGATGTTTTCCCACGTAGTCATGCAATCAACACATTATTTCTTGAGTGCTTTATGTGCTACCCTACATCGAGGGTAAAATTAACAAAAAATTATTCCCTCATGAAACTTATGTTCCAGGAGAGTAAGACAAGCAATATTTAACAGCATAATTAAGTAGATTGGAAAATGGAAAAAACAGAACAGGATAAGAAGGGGGACTCAAAAGAAGAAATGGGTGGTATAATTACGAAGCAAAAGATGAGAGGATAAGCTATGCAGCTATTTAGGGGAAGAATGTTCCAGGCAGATGAGAGGCCCTAAGATGGAAAGAAAACCCAAGAAGTGAACTAGAATTCAGATCAGAGGGTAACAGAGGGAGTGGGCAGACCAGGTCTTGTGAGGAATTTGGATGCTGCAGGAATGTCCCTGACTAAAGATGAGGTCTACCATATAGGGGCTGGAACAAGAGTATTTCATGTAAAAGAAGGAAAAACAAAGCACACAAGCACAGGTGCTCATAGCTAGGTAGATATAGTAACTGGAATAGGTAAGTAACCTTCTAAATGCTTCAATTTGTCACTGAATTAGGAAGTAAGTTTCTGAGCATGAAGATGAGGAAGGAAAACACAAGGTTTTAGGAGAGGAAAGGAAGTACAATAGGTTATGCGGGGCTGGTAGTTATTGCTTTAAAATGCAAGACCTTTTCAAAACCTGTATATGATAGGGTCAGCTAGCTAACTGTTGCACTGCTACAACGGGCATTTGTCGAGGATCTGCCGTTGGTCAAGCCATAATTAACTCATTTAATTCTATAGATTGGCTTGAGTTAAGTAAAAGAATGGAGAAAGAAAAAAATTAAGTGAAAGAAAAAAATGGAGCTTACTCAAGGCATCCCACCCAGGAATACCCAAGGAAGCCAAACCCATCTCTCATTCATTCAAAAGATTTGATGGAACTCCTGTGAATGTCTCATACACCATGCTGGTGCTGAGGACACAGTGGTGACCCACACACTAGACAATAACCTTTCTTCTTCAATCTGAGTTTATTAGCAGAAAGGCATTAAATCAAACAACTGACCTGTAAAGTTGCAAGTGTGATATGTGCCAAAGAGAAAGATGTAGAGTGCTATCGGAATCCAGAACAAAGGGAAAGTGTCCTAATCTGGATGGCAGGGAAGGGGATGGGGCAGGGCAGGAGGGGACCTGGATAAGAAAGATTTCCCTGAAGTGAGGAAGCGCCTTTTCAGTAGCGATCTAATGAGATGAGAGTTAGCCTATCAACCTCCAAAGAGGAAACGATGACCACTACACATAATATGTGCCATACACTGTGCTTGGTACTCTGCATACATTATCTTATGCAATGCTCTGGACAACCCCATAGGGTAGGATTTTCCCCATTTTCCCATTTTACACGTGCAACCTTAACGAGACACAGAAAGATTACACAACTTGCCAAGGGTTAGTAGCCTCTAGGTGGCTAAATAAGGCGGGAATCAAAGTCTAGCTCCAAAGCCTGGTGTGCTAACCACTTTTCTGTCCTGCCTCTCAACAAGGACACAGGAAACTCTGGGAATCATGCTACTGGGTTCTCCACCACCTCCATAAAAAAACGACAGTAACAACCAGCTAACAGGGTTGTTGAGAACATTAAAGCTGAAGGTGGATTTTACGTGGCTGGGGTGGGGCAGCTCCGTCCAACAGAAATATAGTGAGAGTCAAATAGGTGAATCTGAGCTCTCTAGGAGCCGTATTTTTAAAAAATAACAAGAGGTACACGGGTGAAAAATTAATCTTAACATTTTATTTAACCCAGGCATTCCAACCTGTAATCACGACGATTATTAATGATCACTCTTTTGATATTACCTTTAACATCCAGCGTGTGTTTTACACTTGCAATGGCTAGAGGCTGTGGTACGGGACAACACAAGCCCCGTGGTTATCACCCCGAGGCTACCCAGCCCACCCGGCCGGACATGGCCATCTGCATCCGGAGGAGAGCCAGACGGTGCAAGCCCGACTGAGACCCACCCGGAAGCTGGTGTAAGAGAACTTAGGGTTCCGGGGAAGAAAGCGTTCCGCCTAAGGCCCAGGTTTCCTTGGCCCCGCTCATCCACCGCTGCTTTGCATTCCCACTTGGCCTCTTACCCTTACCTCTCTCCTCACTCCTTGCCCTAGAGATTGCAGCCGTGCTGAGAGCTCCGGACGCCCAGATTTCTGGCGCTGCGCCCTCCTTACCACAGAGACTCCCTAACACCCATTCAGCCCGTCCTCTGATAGGCGCCAGAGTTTTTTGAATGAGTTCCCGCGAGAACTTGCACTTCTCACGAGACGTCCCGCCCAAGCCTCGCGTCCAGGACACCAGAAGGAAGTCCCGCCCCCCTCCCCATGGCGACTGCGCAGGTGCAGTGCCGTGAGCTTTGCGCAGGCGCAGACGCGGGCAGTTTCCCTGTGCTCGTTTTCCCGGGTGCCTTTGACGTGTCTGCTGGTAGTTGCTGTGTTTGGGGTTTTGTTTGGTTGCTGCTGTTTCTATTGTTAGGCCCGAGGGGGGAACGTCACCGTCGGTAGGTACCGTGGGGTCAGCCATGTCTCCTCCACCCGCTCTTTCCTCCGCTGCCCATCGTGTGGCTTCGGGAACCTGAACCAGGGTGACCGGTCCTACAGCACCACAGGACAGAGTCATAATTACTGTCACTGGACAGGATGACAGTGCGGGGCAATGCTGAACTTTACACAGATAGTCTTACTAAGTCCGAAAACAGCCCTATGAATGGACCTTAGCACCCCTCATTTTCAACTGAGGAAAACAAGACGTCCGGGTGATAGAACTGGACTTTGAACCCATGCAGTCTGATCCTTGCATCCTGCGTGTATGTGTGCTCAGAAAGCGTATTTGTAAACCTGATGACTTCATCATTCAGAAATCTCAAGGCATCCTGGAAGAACGATGGGCCACAGTTAGCGTCATTGCTGAGTCCTAGGAACGGGTAGAGGTGTCGGGCGTCATCTTCTTGCTTGTTTGAAGACTCAGCTCTAGTTTTCCCTCATCAATTTTTGTTGTGTTTTCTCTGTCAGCAGGTAGACATGCTGTAATGACTTCCGTTGCAAAAAATAACTTCACTGACTCCATAAGATTTGACCCATTTGTTTGCTTCTCTGTATAACAATATGCCCGGGAAAGAAGTTTGCACTATCTCTGTTTTTTAACCTTTTATTCTCTTTTCCCCCCTTTCACTTCAACTGAGGCTTACTCCCAACTAATATAGTGAAATGGCCCTTCTCAAGATCACCAGTGATTGCTTTTTTGAATGTGTCAGAAATGAACCCAGGACCACATGCATGTAAAACATGCACTCTACCACTGAGCTACACCTTCAGCCCACCAGTGGTTTCTGTCTTGCAAAGTCCAGTAGCCAATATTTAGTTCACCCTTCTCCTGACATTTGACAGTTGATTGCTTTCTTTGAGTTTTTAATTTATGTCTTGGGATACCACACCTCCTTGTTTTCTTCTCAGTTTCCTCTGCAGACTTCTAGTTCCAACTGAGCTAGACCAGATGATAAAAGATTGCACTGGATTTTAAGATAAACAATGATGACATCAAGCTGATGCATCTGGTGCCTGAATGAGCCAGATGCTCAGTGGTTTGTAATCACCCTTGTGTTCCTGAATAAATCAGGCAAATACACTTTCTCCTATCATGGAACAAAGATTCCTCAACTCAGGAATCAGGAAGACACTGCTCTACCTTGACCAATCATCTCTCGCTGAAATTAATCTCAAATCTTCTTGAACTTCCTTTTTCTCTTTTGTTGCAGGAGAAGGAAAACCTCGTTTTATTCATGTGAAGGATTGAGTGACTTCAATGAGCTAGGTATAGTAAAAAGAATGTAGGGATAGGGTAAACTACTGTCTAGGAGATGCTTACAACATACAGATGATTTAAAAATACAAATAACTACAGGGCTATATATAAATGTCATGTGAATAATACATTGTTTACATTAAAGGAGTCCTGAAAAGGTAGAGTTCTGTTTTGTCTGGATGAGCATTTAAAGCTTCCCAGAGCAGGTATGGCACTTAAAGCAGAGCCTTGAAGGATGGCACTGAGGAAAAATGCATTCAGGGGGATAGGAAAGTATTAGCAAAGTCATAGAAGCTACTCATGCCCCAACTGTTAAATAAAATTTGTAGGAGGACATTGATTTGGACTAGATTCCTGTACAGAGTCCAAGAAACCAAACCCATCTGGAACCACTCATGCTAAATAGCACAGGAAGAGCCGAGTTTCAGATAGTCGTAGGTGCCGAGCCAATTCAAGTCAGGCAGGAGGCTGAGCTGCAACCCATAAGCCATCTCTACACCTCACTTGTGTTTCCTATCCATAAATACTGCCTGACTGTGTTGCTGCAAAAGTTCTTTGAACCTGTTCTGAGGACTGCCCAATTTTAGAATCCTGCATCAAAGCCAATTAGGATCTTTAAATCTGTAATTTTGCCTTTTTGGCATAATTCAGGTCATTCTTTAGAAACAGTCTGGATAGAGTGCTGTCAATCCCACCCTAGACACTAGATGTCACAGTGGAGTTCTAGATGCTCTGCTTCATAGCTTAACTTATGCTTCTGATTCCTAGATCCTCATACCAGGTGAGGTGTACCATGAATTCCAAAGTTCATAGAAGGTTATGACTATCATTTTCAGTTTACATAATGAGAGCTAGGCTCACCTCCTCACACAGGAGAGGATACAATTATAGGAAAGGACTCAATGCTGAGAAGCAACAAAAGCTCCACTCCACCCCCATAACAACTCCTACTTCAGCTGTTCAAAACTGGGATCAACTGTGGTAGAGAACCCATCATCATTCTGTCATTGTGACTGTTCCAGTCCACTTAACTTATTAGAAATGATGTAGAAGGGAGTGTTGCATTGTCTTGAAAAGCTGTATTTATTTTGACACAAGCTTATTTAATAATTGCTTTGGGTACTGGAAATGAATAGTCTGTACTCAAGAAGCTTAGAGTTCAGTGGAAGAGACTTCACCAAATAATAAATTCTTACTTAGAGGATTTCTTAGACTTTATTGTTCTTTCACATTAAGTAGAACTGCATGCTAGTCTTTGTTGGGGTCAAGCAAAAACAACCTCAGGACTCTGAGACAGAGTGTGAAAAAAGAACTGGATTAATAAATAAAGCTCCATGATACACAGGCTGGGCTGGGAGATGAAGTTCTAGAGGTTAAACTGAAGGTTGTAGTTATTGCATTCTACAGAGTGACTGAATGAAGAACAGAGATGCAGAGAGAGAAGAGAGGGCCAAATGCAGAGCTCAGGGAGTGGCCTAATCCATGGAATAGGAGAAAAAGAATCCGGTGAGAGAATCAGAAGAGCCCTCAGAGAGAAGAGATCAGAAAATTGACTCATCATAGCCTGTACTACAATGATGAGGTATCAGAGTGAATAATTGTACCAGGATAATAGTGATGATAACAAAATCCAGTCCACAGTCTCTCCTGAATCTGCACAAACAGTACCACCTTTAGCTCAGCCCTTTTGCCATGTTCTTTTCCCCTTCAAATGCATGAAGTCCTCACTCAGAGCAAGAGTGTGCCATCCCAATATGGTGGACATTTATTGGTTACCTTCCCTGGTGTCAGTTTATTCCCCTTTTCCTGCTGAAAGCATTGGTATTATTCCTTGAGTAATCGACCTTTCCTGCCATTTTCAGCCATGTGGATTCTCTACAATTGATTGTGACCTTCAGGTCCAGGATGCCCAGCACCTTGGTTACAGAAATTGGTTCAAAGATGGATGTGTGAATGAGTCCAAGTCAGTGGGATTGTTTTCACTGGGACTGTTGGTTTTGTTAATTTCCTTGTTGCGAACTGAATTGTGTCCCCCTACTAGTAATGTGACTGTATTTAGAGATAAGGCCTTTAAAGTTAAGTGAGGTCATAGGGTGGGGCTTTGTTGATGGAAGTGGAGTCCTTATAGGAAGAGACACCGGACAGATCCACCCCTCCTCTGTCTCCCTACCTACCTCTCTCCTGCTACCTAGCTCCCTCCCTCTTCTCCTCTCTCTTCCTGTATGCACACAAAGGAAGTCTACATCCCAAGGAGAGAGGCTTCACCAGAAACCACCCCTACTGACGCTGACCTTGTAGTTCCAGCCTTCAGAACTCTAAGGGAAAGAAAGTGTTGTTTCAGCCATCTTGTCTGTAGTATTTATTATGGGGCTTGGGCAGACTAATCCACCCTCTATAAACGTTGTAACCAGGGGCCAGACATGGTGGTGCTCAACTGTAATCCAGCTACTAGGGAGGCATAGGTGTTAGGATCAAGGTCCAAGGCCAGTCCCTGGCAAAAACGCAAGTCCATATCTGAAAAAAACTAAAGCAAAAGGGCTAGAAGTATGGCTCAAGTGCCTAGCAAGTGTGAGGCCCTGAGTTCAAACCCCAGTGCTGCCAAAAAGAAAAGAACAAATTTGTAACCAGTGCACTCAATAATACTTGTGCCTCAGCTCGGGCAGACTACAACTATCAAGTTACCATTGTGCGTTTAGGGTTTTATGAGGCAAAGACTGAAAGTTAGTCACTTCCAGAGATAGGATGGCTTCTTTGAAAAAACGAACACCACCAAAAATCCACCTTGACTAAAGTAAAGGAAGGTTTGTCCTAAGCTGAGGGCCAAGTGAATACTGAGGGAAGCAAGAAGTATCAGAGCTTGTGTGCAGTTCCTTTCTCGTCCCGGCTTCGGATCACCCCATGCCACCTTTAAATGGACTTTTCGTGTGATCTGAGTACTAAGCAAGTTAGAGTTAAGATTGAATGTTTGTATCACTTATGGCTTTAACTTGCCAAGATCAGTATCTGCCCTTGTTAGTTTAAAGGATACACATATATAAAAAACAGCAAAGTCCTAAGTTTTGCAACTA